CTTTCTGCCCTGGCGGTTCATGTGAGAACGTCCGGCGCGAACGAGCGAGCGGCAGTAGAGCCCCGCCGCCCACCCCCCATCCAAAATAGTTTCTCCGGGGCACTTTAATGAAGACTTCCTAAGGCAAAGCGTAAACAAAAATCCGGCCGTCAGCTGTAGGGATGCTGGGGGCTCACGGGGACGTCCTTGTCCCCTCCTCCCCGCTGGCCGCCAGACGGGGCCGAGGCCGGTGACCCCGCTGGGTTTCGACGTCCCTGGTACCCGCCAGCATTCCCTTCCTGCCTACGAATATGCATCGTACCTCGAGCAGTGTTTTGTAAACCGATTAAAGCATCCCACTGACATAATGGTTTCACTTAGCTGTTAATTTACAGCTGGCTTGGAGCCACGAACTCTTTTTCCATGAAAAAGGAGCAGCAAGCGAAAAGAGCCGTGGTAGCGACTGTTTCGCAAAGCCACAAGCGCAGGAGGTTAATGTTTGCTCTGCCTTATCCCCGTGAATTCCTGGGTTGTATTTGCCTTGCAAAAAACCCCATCAGCAGCTCCACGCCACTCATTGCCTGGGAGCTTTCCCGGTTAGCCCCCTTTGCATAGAACGCCTTTCCTGTCCAGGGTCATTTGCAAATCCGATGTCTGTGCCGGTGGCCTCGCGTGTCCCCCGGAGCATCCCCGGCCGGCCCGGGCGGTGCGGTGGGGGCGGGCAGGCAGCCCACCGGAGGGGTGCGCCCAGCCCCGCCCGGCCGGGGCACCTTGCTGCGTCCAGGCGGTGCGGTTAGTGATTAACTTCCTCTTGGGTCTGGGCACTGCTTAAAATCATCGGAGAAAACTGCTGGGGTGGTGATGGGACAGGCAACAACATCCAGCTACAGCCACGGGCCTGGGACTGCGTCCCTCCCTTTGCCTGGCTCCGGTTCCCGCTGCCACTCCAGGCCCCTTGGCCGTTGGCTACAGTTAACTTGAGGGGTTTTATGGTTTCCTGCCTATGTGGTTTGAGTTCTCCCATTATAATAAAGTCCAGTGGTGGCAAACGGATTGTTTTTCTGGGGACTCTTTGGTGACACAAGTTGTTTCCAGATAGCTGCAGGAAGTCAGGCTACACTACAGTTACATATGTGAATATATACATAAATAGCAAATATTTCTCTGTTCCTTGTTGCTTGCAATGAGACAAGTCTCTCACTACAGGAAGTACCCAGAACAAAGCCTCACAAGGATATATCACCAAAGATACTCCCCCCGCCCCCTTTTTTTTTTTTCCCTAATAGACCATATTTCCAGTGTAATTGCTTCGGAAAGAAAAGTAGTAGCCCTTCAGCAAAGGTGAAAGAAAGCAAATTTACTGAAAGGATTTTATAATGAAGATCAATGTAAAAGAAATGTAGATTTTAGGAATCGCAACTGGTGTCTGACTGTAGAATTGGCTAACACTGGATCATTTCTTAGATATGGGCCCCAGTGGTGGATGGCTATGAAGAGGTATATTTCCACAGCTATGTGGAATCTCCGACTTGAGATTGCTGCAGCTGTCATTCCCTCCTACTGCCCTGCCACCATTGCTAGAGCCTCTGCCAAAGCTGCTCTGAGAGGCCCCGGTCTTGCTCCTGGCAGGTGTAACCATGCTTCAGCACACAGGGCAAAGAAAAATTGCTCCTTACCTGCCGTGCCTTCACCCCAGTAGTTATTTTAGGGATTTCTACAGCCACACATGGTCATTGTCACCAGTGAATCCCACACCACTAATTATTTATTCTGTCCTCCATGGCATTCCCTTCCTGCCTGTGGCCTCTGCAGCTTCCTGTGGTAATGCTGAGGGAATTCATTTGTGTGCTGAGTGAAATAATGAAGTTACTATTTCCATTTTAACTTCAGTGTAGATAATTTAGTTTATTCTTGTACTGTGACAATTTTGTCTCTTCATCTTTGCTAGGACACTGATTTTTCTAAATCTGCTGTTTCTCCATCAGTTTATCTCATATCACACAGAGAGATATAGAAAAGAATTGAAGATTTAAATGAAAAAAAATCAGCATAATATGCTGCGTATGACTGTCACTAAAATTTATTTTTAATAGATCATGCTTCTTTGTTAATCATTAATTTACCTGCAAATTAGATGAAGACTGTTCACCTCAAGAGTGTATATATAATTTTCAGTAATCAGATCTGCTTCCCCTGTGTATAATTTCATTTCCTTCCCATCCTTTTGAAGCAGTGTGTGATGTGATTGCATACATAGACAGTATTGTATTTTCTTTCTTTTCCGACAGCAATGTAGGGTTCACTGAGAGTCAGCAGTGCTGAACACATTTGCAGGCTTTGTGCTCCTGTGTTTTACTGCCAGCAGACATGGCCTGTCTGAGTGGAAAGGACAGGATGGAGCCAGAGGCCTCCCCAGCCTCTCTGCTAGCTGTTGTGACACACACACTTACATCATACGTGACACAGGATCAGCCATGTGAGTGGAGGTTTCATGTGGCCAGCCCCTTCTCTCCCACATCTG